ATTTCCTGATAGCCTTTATAAAATATTTCGAAAAATTCCGCAAAAATTTTTCGAAAATATCTGCAATAAAAAAATTCTGGAAAATTTGCATAAAAATTTTCCGGAAATTTTTTATTTCGAAAATATTTAAAAACTTGTGAAAGATTTCCGGAAATTTTTATGAAAATTTCCGGAGATTTTTGTCTCCTAAAATTTCCTGATGTATCATGACCTATTTTTTCGAATAATATATAAATTTTCTCAGCTCTCTGAGTTTTTTTGCGCAAGGCATCCTGCGATATTTCTGAAAGATGTAAACTCAATTCTTGCGATCTTTTTTTACGGATAATAGAAAGCTGTTTTGTAATGGAATCATAAAGTAAGCTTCTCACCTTCTTTTCACCAATTTTACTTCCACTATTTTTTATAATCTCATTGAACTGAACCCTGAAATCCTTTCCATAGATGGACCAACACAAGATTTCTTCTTGGTTAGCTCTATTTGCACCATCCTCAGTATCAAAAGCTTTATCACATAACTGAACTAGATGTTGCGATGCTTCGTCAATGTTAAATTTTCTGGAACCGCCGGTCTCAGAAATTTCAGTTACATGGTTTTGAATTATATTTGATTCTTGTAGAGATGGCTCTGGAGTAAATAATTCTTGGATCAACCCCTGCTCACCTTTTACACTCAAAGAAGATTTAGTATCCTGGAAAGTTATGATTTTCTCTTGATTTTGAGGCTTCTTTTCCTTAATATTTTGAATTATCTCTTTACTAACTTTTTCTTTATATGTTGAATCTAGGAAATCGTCCATTTCCTTATCTTCCGACGATTTAGGCTCTGTACAGATAGGTTGTAGATATTAGAATTTGAAACATTATCAGATGCTGAAGCGACAATTTGTTCATGAACATCATTAGAATTTGAAGTGTTAGCAGATATATTGGATATATCATCGGTTATATCGGATATAGGAGTATCATTAGAAATTTCCATTTCAGTAGAGATGATATTAACTGAAGATTGTGGAACATTAGTAATACTTTTTTCTCCCCACTCTAACTTCGTGATTCTGGCTTCATGCCCTTCTAAATCTTGTCTTAATTTAGCATTCTCGTTTTTAAGTTCAGTATTCTCAGCCAAAAACCTGGTGTTCTCTTGTTTCAATAAATCTAGTTCAGATTTGATATTTCCCATTGTTTTATATAAGATATAGATTTATTTAAATTTTGAAATAAAATCATGTGACATCACGACCAACGGTCAGGAACTTGCAGATCTTTTGTCAAGAAAATTATTTTGGAAAAATTACTTATACATTACACAAAAAATAACACATGATACGTTGTACGTTCCTCTAATCAAAAAATCTTTATTAATAAAATATATATATATACGATAAAAATACAGGATAAAAATATAAGATAAAAGATAATATAGTGCCTTGCCCATGCTTCGCATAATATATGGTAATTAATTATTTTCTCGTATAGACGAAGATATAGTTGAACTTTTTTCCATAACCTTATTTGATCTAGTTAGTGGTACATTACACAGTAAAGATATATTAACCAATAAAATATTCTATATTATCAACAAGGTTTCAACAAATTTTGTAACAATAGTAGAATTTGATTGCTGTATTGATATTCCCACATCACGAATATGATAATAACTGTGAATATTTGCCAAGTCTCTAATGAGAACATTTAAACGTATTGTGCTACCTGCTATTTGCACTCCAACAATACCAAACTGGTCTCTATCGGGTGTACAACTCTTATGAACCCAGTATAGACCATCATTACATTCACACCACAATTTCACTTCATCATCTTTTTTCTTTTGTGGAGTGCAACTCAATCGTGAATACTCAGTATATAAGAGTTCATATTTTTTTACACCATGTTTCATTATAAATATTATATTTGGTCGCCTACCTGATCATCCTTCACCTCTTCTATCTGCACTCGCGCTACTCTGCTTTTTGGAACTGCTGACAAAAGTTGATTTTCTAGAGGAAAATCTTTCAATGTTGCTCTAATAGTAGGTAATACTATATTATTCACATAAGTACCTTCACTCTGAAATCCCGAAAATTCAGAACTAAATGCTAAATTATTCCATGCATCTTGTCTAATACAAATAAAAAATATTTCGTGAATTTTTCAACAAAGTCAGTAAGACCAAAATCCTACAATATATCCTATACTTACAAAGTATCTAAAATTCTATTCGTAACCTCTGCAAGTTGATGTTCTGATTCTTTTCAGACCCCATTATGTATAATTCTTCGTGGTAATTTAACCACACAATTTTCGTTAAAGGTCGACACAAATTCATTACACTTTCTTTGTATTATTGGGGGGAGAGATGCTGGAGTCATTTGTCGTGCCAGTTCCATAAAGGAATATCGTAGCGTTGCCGATAATTGATGCACTAGTTCTGAATCGTCAGTAATAATCTGGTTTGCCAAAGGATCTTTCCACGTCAATTCAAAATTTTTTACTTTCTGTAAACTTGAAAATAATTTTTGATTAAGTGGTGTCGTTTTGTTATTAAGCTTCCCCTTTAATTTTCATATATTATTTGCTATTTGATTCGAATTAAGGGATTTTTCTTTGTTCGTTTTTACCGCCCCAATAGCATGTAAACTGGATACTGTTTTATAAGAAATTTTAAACTAACACAAATTTAAACTTAATTAGTTTCCTATCGATATAAAAATACAACTTAAATTACACATGCATTGTCAGAATATAATCAAAGTCCATCTTTGCGTGGCCATCGCGTAGATAAAACTTTGTGCAATACATAAATAGCAACACAAAACAAACATAAGTCAATCTACAGCTTAATTATCCTTCACGCTATTGAGGATTTTTTCCTGTAGGCAGACTACGGGATATTTAAACTGCTATGTTTGATTCCTTAGAATGGTATCACTATCTACGCACTTATCACTTAAACAAACTTTATATTTTTTCTAAAATTTATTGCCATACCTCAGGTAAAATTTCAAGAAGAATCATATAACGTGAAGACCCCCGTTGTTACAGAATGAAGATATCATGATAATAGAATATTGAAAACACCTGCAACAATTAGTAATAACCTTTAAAATAATATTTAGAATTTAATTAATGAATATTAGTTCATGAAACAAACAGTGATAATTGAATAATTACTTTTAGCAAATACTTATAGCCTGTAGTACACATTAATTAGTCACGAAATAGTAGTACAAGATCACATGTTCACGTGATATTTAGTTATACAAACATAACTATCAATTCATAATATTAATTATTATCAATTAACATTATTTAACAATAATTATTAACATATAGTATTAATTAGTAACAAATATATTTAGTA